AGGCAAGAGCAGAGGTGACAGGTTTTCTAACTGTTGGTTTTCCCATTGCAGTGTTGGGCCTGTAGTAGCTTTTTTCAAAGTTTTGCTCAGTCTTAAATGGTGAATGAATTGCTGCAAACTTTTGGGTCTTATGCATCATCTGACATGTCACTGTGTATTCCACAGGTAGGGCTTGGCACTTGTAACTGATTCACACAAAAATGCCTGCTAAAGGAATTTCTCCCAGACATGGCTTTGTGCTTGCATCAGAGAGAAGCAAAGATTTATTAGCATTTATTTTTTTGAATTTGTTCTTTTTTTTCTTTTTTTTTTTTGTTTTTTTCCACGGGAATACCTATCACGGTAGAGATTAACTCAGGGAACAGTGATTAGGCACAGAAGTGCGGGTGGAAGAAGCAGGCAGGCAGCCAGGTGAGCAGAGTAACTGGAATGAGGGCTTGCTCTTGCTCTTGCTCTTGCTCTTGCTCTTGCTCTTGCTCTTGCTCTTGCTCGAGGCGAGGGACCGCGCGGTGCAGTCCTGCAGGGAGGAAAGGCCCCCGGGGAGGTCCTGCAGGGCCTGTCGCTGGCTTTGCCCATCACTCCTCAGACCTTCTGCAACTCCCTGTTGAAAGGTGAAGGAAGCAAGATTGTCTTTGAAGTGTTATCTCATTTGGCATTTTTTGTCTTTTTGTTGCTTCTTGGTTATAGGCTGCAGTTCCAGTGGGCTGGATCTTTACTATTGGTACCAGCTGCATGTGCAGCTTTAGCCTGTGAGATCACAGCCCTGCTCGTGCTCTCAACTCTCTGAGTATAAATCACGCTGTCAATTTAGAGTGGCTGCAGCACTATAAATCAAATACAGGTGAACTTGGCACCTGTATTGATGTGTGCATGGATATTTACAATACTTTTTACAAGTTAAAGGTGGATGTCACATAGTACGTGTTAATCCTGCCTCCCAAGCGTTAGTACCTGGGACTGTTGCAGGTCAGGTGGAATGCCTGATCACAGGAGGAGATTTTTGTGGAGGAGTTTGCAAAGCCCGTAAAATTTTTTAAACTAGATCTCATCTACACCGAATGTTACAAAAACTTACTAATTGCTCAAAAGCTTTCTGAATTCACTGCCTTGGTTTTCAACATGAAGGCAGTCTGTGCAGTACTCTCACTTCCTACGTTGCTGGCTTCAGGCCCTTTGGTCCGTAGCCAAGGTTCGATGCCCACCTGTCAGCCTGCTTGTGAGACACACTACATCTTCCCCTGGCAGTAACAGCCCTGGCACTTCCCTGGTACAAAGGAAGAAATGGAAACCTCAGAGCGGGGTCATTTTCCATCTTAAAAAAATAAATAAATCAGAAGCGGAAGAGAACCTTTCTAAAAGTTATAACTTCCTGTTCGTTTTCGACATTCTCAGGTATTTGTCTGAGGTGCTGCCAAGGCCTGGAGCCTTACCCAGTCTCATCGTTTTTATGGCCTCAGACACTTCCTCCATCGTTGCTCCTCTCTCCAGTGTTTTATTCCCTTCCAGGCACAGCTTCATGTTCTCGCTGCCGCCTGGAACCACAGCCATGAAGTCAGACACAGACCTTTGGGTCACTCCTCACCTTTCGCCGATTCCAGATTTTGCAGCTAATACCCCTTGGAATTTAAATGCCTTGAGTGTTCCAACTATTTTACTCTTCTTTAACCCCTTTTCCCCCTTAACACCAGTTACGTTTCTAACATTTGGCCTCTGCTGACTTCTCTAGTTCCCTGCATGCTTTGCACTGGGCATTTTTTAACTTTTCCCTCCTCACTTCTTCTTTCTACATATCCTCTGATACAACTCTCCTTAACATCCTCTTCATTCGAGTGAAGCATCAGCAAGGTACTATTTTCTTGGAAAGATGCTATCCTGGTATGTTAGAGTATAAGAACAAATGTCTGAGTCAACTTAAAAAAAGATTGAGGTAAAAAATGGCAAAAATATCTCCAGACTTCAAAATAAAGTAAGAAGTTATCATATTCTTTCCTGCTATTCAGGGAGAAAAATGAATGGGAGGATGTACTCCTTTATTCCAATTTCTGCCTTGGCTCTCACAGGACTTACCAGACTGGGAGGATGAAGAGCGGGAGAGGCAGGATTTTCCCCCTCCTCCTCCTCCACCACTGCCACCTCCTCCACCTGAAGTTTTACCACAGCCACCGCCTGAGGTTCTTCCTCCACTCCCTTCTCCTCCACTTCCAGAAGAGGAAGTTCTCCCATAGGATCCTCCAGTTTTTCCTCCACTGCTTCCTCCACCTGAGGACCAGCTACTTCCTCCTCCACTGCTTCCTCTTCCAGAAGACCAGCTGCTTCCTCCATGACCTCCTCCTCCTGCGGATCCACCACCAGCTCCTCCCTGGGAGATGCTGTGAGGAGGAAAGGGCGTGTGTCTGTCAGATTTATAGCAACGTGACTAATCTAGCAACTAGTCTAATTAAGGACAAATTAACTAATCTGCACAGAAGAAGGAAAACAAAGATAATGGATGGCTTTAGAAGTCTTTTAAAATACATGCCCTGAGTATTTATAAAAGACGTTTATTTCCTTGCTTACCTTTCCTGTTCATACACAACTGTAGTACCTGATTGGCTTAGAAGGAGAAATGGCAAATGAGAGTTCTGAATACTTTCGCATGTGCTTTTGTCCAGGTCACTCTACGCACAGGACAATACAGCCTTGTAGACTGCCAGCGAAGATTTACATTCCATGTGCATTCTTGTGATTGTAGTAAATGTGTTGATGATGAATCACTTGCACTAATATAAACATTGCTGCTTTCCTCTGCAAAGATGGTAATCTGAATGTCCCTACCTGATGTCCTGCTGCCCTTCCTCCAGCAGTGCCCGGTACTGAGCGATCTCCTGCTCCAGGCGGGTCTTGATGCCCAGGAGCATCTTGTACTCCTCGTTCTGACTCTCCGTCTCGCAGCGGATGCTGGCCAGCTCCTCCTCCAAGGGGCCGATCATCCCCTGGATCTGCTGCAGCTGCATGTTGTAGCGACGCTCCGTGTCCTCCAGGTTGGATTGCCTAGCCTGTACCTGAGAACGAAAGCCAAAAAAATAAAGCGTTTGTGGGCATGTGACGGGATCAGGTCATTCTCATGCCCCAGATGACAAAAATGTTCAATGGTGTCAGGTGCACCAAACGTCTTCGTTGACCAGAGCACTGGCCCTGGCTGATCGGCTGTCACTCTGACAACTCGCCTGTTCCCAGAGGAGCAGGAGCAGTCGTTACCTACCAGGGTGAGGTGCGACTGCAGCTCGATTTCCAGGCTCTGATATTCACGTCTCAGCTCAGAGATCTGTTGGTTGCTTGATTCCATTTCCTGGCTACTTGACTGGACTTGTTGACTCACTTCCTCCATCTGAAAAATTAACAGGCAGGTTTGGAGATTTGGAGTGTTACTTTACAACGTGGGGGTTTATCATGGAAGCATCTGGCAGCACAAGAATTTGAAGCAGGACCACTTGTAATCCTAAATCTGCTTAGACCTGCTCATAGAGCTCTGCTGGTGCAGTTCAAGGCCACTGGTGATTTCCTGTGTTTTAATCAAAAGGATTCTACCATTATAACCTAAGAGCAACGGAGGCAGTGCTTCGAAGTGTCGTTCAGCTACAGGAAGTTCTCACCAGAAGTTGGTGTTGTTTTTCTTTTGTAATGTGACCATTCAAATTGTAACCACTTACCTTGCGTTCATACCACCTTTCAACCTCTTCACGGTTTTTCTGAATTATATTTTCATATTCTTGTCTCATATCATTCAGTTTTTTCAGCAGGTCCTCTCCTGGAGCAGCATTCACCTCCACACTCACGTCACCGCTCGACTGTGTGTGCAGCAATTTCATTTCCTGCAGAGAAAACCCAGGCCCAAGGCACATAAGCAAAACCGGTGAAATTACTTTTGAAGTCAGTTAATTTGCTCTGGCATCATAAATCACCCTGGATCCTCTCAACAACACATTTACATAGATTGGGTTTATTCTTATTGCAATTATTTGGCCTTTGCTTCCCAGTCCTTGCTCGTTGAGAGGGACAACGAGCGCTCAGCGGCGCCGGACAACCCAGGCCCAGCCCTTACCTCCTCGTGGTTCTTCTTGAGGTCAATCATCTCCTCCTTCAGAGACTCAAATTGCATCTCCAGGTCAGACCTGTTCAGAGTGAGGTTGTCCAACAAGGGTCGCAAGCTGTTGATGTCGGCCTCCACGTTCTGCCGGAGACCATACTCTGTCTCGTACCTGCGCCAGGGACAGTGCAGAGAGGTCAGCCCTGAGCTCGGCTTCTCAGTCCTCCTCCTCCTGACTTTAATTATGAAAAAATTCCCATATCCAGGTAGCTCAGTGTCTGGTTTTTTGTCTATACCTCACAGCATATAGCATCTCTGAACCAGCAGAATTATGAAATCATCAGCCAGGACTTCAACTTTAATATTAAAATGTATTGTGTCGTCTTATTCATTGTCTTATCTTAACAGCAGACTTTGTGCAGGTTTCATCTGTTTCATCGGACTTTCAATGAGAGATAATAATAATTCTTCTTTCCTTAAAAATAAAGCTTTCTAAAGATTTGACTCCACAGCCATAGGGATTATTCCCATTGGAGATCATTACAGAAACAATGAATTTGGAATTCTTACAAATTATTTTCGGGTGTGCTGCCATGGAACGAGAAGGAGCCCTAGTCTCTGTGGATGGATATTTGTTTATGGAACTAATTTATGAAACTAAGTTGAGGAAAGCCAGAGAACGGCAGTCAGTGCCTGGAAAAAGGGAATATGTATTTACTTTATCCTGAAGTCTTCTGCAGTCATCCTGGTGTTGTCCAAGTCCAGAAGGACCCTGTGGGTTTCCACAGCCGCAGTCACAAGCTGCAAGAGAAAGTGATTTGCTGAGGAGAGTTCCCAGGTGTCTGAGGGGAACAGCATTTTCTACACACAGAGGCAAGCCAAGGAGGAGCATCAGCATGGCCAAAACTGTTTTGTGAGCACAAGAGCCCTGTCAGAGGCTTGGTGTCACTGCCACGGCTCTGCCTCACCCTCCAAGCCCGTGGGCTCTGCTCACGTTGGGCACTGCAGAGCCCGGAGCAATGTCACTATTTTTCCTTTGCTCCAGAGCCCACCTCAGGCGTTCGGAGAGCACTCAATCGCAAAACGTCTGTCAGTGCTTCGTCTCCTCTAACAAAGGCATCCTACCTGATTCTGCAGGTCTGCAATTTGGCCATAGTAGTGGCTGTAGTCCTTCGCACCAGCAGGCTGATGCTTCTGGTACCACTCCCTGATGAGCTGCTCAAGCTGAGCGTTTTTCATTTCCAGATTTCTGACCGTTTCCAGGTAAGAAGCCAGCCGTTCGTTGAGGCTTTGCATGGTCAGCTTTTCGTCGCTGGAGAGAATTCCCACAATCCCTCCGTGAAAGCCACTGGCGCCAAAGCTGCCACCGCTGAAACCAGCACCACCTGCACCGAAGCTCCCTCCATACCCCGCGCCAAACCCGCTCCCCCCCGGCCCAAAGCCTGCTCCCATGCTGCCGCAGCCCATTCCCCCTCCGTAGTATCCACCGCTCATCCCTCCTCCGTAACTACTGCGCCGGATCCTGCCGTAGCTCCCACCACTAGCTCCCAGGCTGTAGCTGCTCCTGGAACTTCCTCCACCACAACTGCTGCCAGAAATCCTGCCACCACCACTCGTCCTAGAAGCGAGCTGGTGTGAGGAGGCAGAGGAGGACTTACTGCCCGCCCCGCCACCACCACCGCTGCCGCGCAGGCAGCCTGCAGAGCTCTGCTTGGAGCCACAGCTCATGGTGACAGCGGCGAAGGCTTCGGCTTAAAACTCGAAGCTGGTCCTACAGTTGTTCTGGAATCATAGCTCCAACTTCTCCCCTGCCCGGTCTGCCTTTATAGCAGCGGTAGTGGGTGTCGCTGGCGAAGGCAGCACCTTGTTCCATGCCAAGGGGAATGTGCCAAAGGGAAATGCTTGACAGTGTCAGGAGGCTTAACCCGTACTCAAGGTGTTTGTGACTGTTTGTTTATTAATACAAAACATGTAATTTCTACTGGGTGGCTTTGAATTAGGTAGATCTTTTGTGTGATCTAGTCCACTGACTTACAGTCATCTGAATTACACCAGCCCACTCACCTCACGCTGCTCACATCTCTTCCCGCACAACAGCAAACTGTTGGGGGACGGGGACGAACGTTGCCACCTCTCTTCTCGGGTAGCCATTCCTCGCCCTCTTTCCCCTCTCAGACATTTGTCAAGGAAACCCAGCTGATTTTTTTATACTTCAGTCATATTTGAATAGGTTCTGCCTCATGTTTATCTTGTGCTGTTATGCTCCTTATTTTTCATCCTGTATTGCTTTTTGCCTTTTGCAAACATACCGCAGGATGTGTGCTGCAGGTGCGCTGAACCACTCTGGCTTCTTGTAATTTCTCATAAAAACTTAAGTGAGCTTTGGCAAATACCGTTTGTGCCAGCAATTTATTCTAAACTTATACCTGCAATTAAGTGTTATAAATAAAAATTTAATTATGAAAAATTGTATGACAACAACGAGAAAATAGCTCTGTGTGAGACTGCAAGGAAAGGAAGCGTGACGGGTTGTTGCAGGGAATAACTCTGCCTTGCTCAGAGCAAATGCAGGTGTGGGATGGTAGAGGGAGCTGGGGAAGCAGCCGGACTCGGGGCTGGTCTCCCTTGACCCGTCTGTGGGTGTGAGAGGCGATGTCCGTCTTCTGAGCTCTTAGAGCAGCCTGAGCCTCCAACACTTGCAGTGTCTTTCCTGCCTGCCTCCCGTGTCTGTCCTCCTCCGCAGGCACCTCAGCTTTAGCAGAGCTCAGTCTGGCAGCTGCCATCCCTGTAGGTTGAACCAGTTCTGTGATATCCAGCTTCCTCATTCGCTATGGCATTATTTTCCTGCGCAGCCTTTGGTTGTTGCCAGTTTAGAGGTTTGTTTGTTATGGTTTGTAGCAAGTGTTTGTGGAAACATCTTTTTATAAACGCCCCTCCCAGCACACCCTCGCCCACACGGTGGGACACACCTCAAGTTTCGTCTTCTGCTAGACTTCAGTTCTGCAATGTCCCCGTGAGCAAGGTCTTCTCTGGCTTGTAGAAATGTAAAAGGTTCACTACAAAACTTAGTGGAGTCTAAGTCATGAAACTTTGTCTTGTTCCAGCGAGAAATCCCTTTCTCTTGAAGTGCATGGAATTCTCTTGTGTGCTAACAGCTCCTCTGGCTCGTGAAGGAACAGGTTACGTTCTGCTGAGCTGGTGGCTGCCACTCACTGATTTTATTTCCTGTGGTGGAACTGTTGCCCGCTCCTGCCCAGGAGAGGATGGTGCGTTGTTTAAGCCCGGGCGTGAATTCACTCAGTGCACGGGAAGGGCAGAATTCCCGTGAGCTCCACAGCAGCCCAGCGTGCGCTGGCTGAAAGCAGAGCCCGGAGGGAATGAAGCCGTTTTCCCTGGGGGGTGGCAGCAGGAAGAGGGGCAGAGCTGGCGTGGGGCAGGTGATGGCGTGGGCTGAGCTCAGCTCCCAGCTCTGTGGTACGACTGGCCTGGTGTGTTTGGGAGAGACTGCTGAGGGTGCTGAGCGTGTTACAGGGGTACCGCCGGCCTGTTCCCCACCCCTGTCAGTGCCCCAGTGGTGATGAGTCCTCTCCCGTCCTTCCGACTTCTGGCCAGGTCTTGTCAGGAAAATGCAACTTGCTTATGTTGCTACACAGAGAAGAACTGTGTAACAGCTATCTGGGGAATATGACTCATTCTCATAACTATACATTATAAACTAACTTCCATTATATAACCATCAAGCAATTTTATTAAATAAAAAATCCCAGATAATCCCACAGACTCAGACAACCTATGGCCAGCATCTAATAAAATGAAGCAGTGCGTTTTCAGAGGTCACTGAAATTCTGTGTAAATCTATGCATGATCATTCCCTGTATGCCAAAACACCTTTAAGACGTATTTTAAGTGAAGTTTTTAAAAATACCTGTTTTGAAATGAGAAAGGAATTCCCCACAGGGTGTAAGTCTTGGCATCTGCCCACACCCTGAGATGTGTGGTCACGGGGAATGTCACTGGAACCTCTCTGTGATGCATCTCATGGTCCTAAACCAGCATGTCCAGTTAAAACTGGACGGCAGCCCTGGGAGGTGACCTGCTGCCCCCACGCACGTCTGGTTGGCAGCATCCAGCCCAGGAAACATCTCTCCTTTAGGAAAAAATAAAATTCTTGCACACATTATACTTAACCTGTTACTCATTCTTTATTGCAGGGACTGGTACTGACGAAACATTAAAGGGCACCTTCGGAAGATCCCCCACCCAGCGGAACGATGGTGATTACGATAGGAACAGTAATTAGGTGAGTCAGCGCCCTACGAGACTTTCACAGTCCAAACCCTTTGGTCGGGAACTTTGTTGTTTTGCGTCTAAACAGCCCCTTGCACTGCCGGTACTGTGGGGTCTCTGATGCTGCTTCTCTGGTAAGACCTTCCTCAGCAAAGGGTCGTTGTAACAGTTACGAGCCCTACGGAGAGCCGGCCTCTCACTGTGCTCCTGCCTAACCACGGCATGCAAAACATCCCAGCGCCGTTCGAGAAACGTAAACACGTATTAGCGAACCGGTGCGGCGAGTTTCAGCCTGGCACCTGTTCTGTGCGCTCACACCCGGGAGAGCACAGCTGGGGTCTTCCTTGGTGATCTCAGAGGTCTTTTCCAGCCTCCATAATTCTGTGATTCTGAGCGGTGGGAGGGAGCCTGCGTCGACCCCTGCAACAGCCACGCACGCGGACTCAGGTCACGTAACCCTTACCACGACTGTGACCGTTAAATACAGGGGAGTGAGCTGGAGCGAGCTCTCGAGGCGGATGACGTGTTCCATGCTCTCAGCTTGCAGGCTCTCTCCAGCACACACGGGGGGCTCTGCTCCTCTCTTCAGCCCAGGCCTCGCTCTCCGAAGAAGAGGCGAGCAAAGGAGCAGGGCTCGCTGCACGCCTCTGCCCTGGGCACCCCACGGCAGCCTCCCTGAGAGCCCAGTGCCCTCTAGAGAGCGGGGCCTGGGATGAGCCTCTCCTCCTGCACCCCCAAATACCCTACGGTGAAACACAAATTGGGCCTGAATTTGTGCCTGAATCGCTGCTCAGCACCGTGGGGGCAGGGGGCAGCCACAGCGGGAGCGAGCGCTTCCCGCCCCCCTGCAGGCAGCTGGGCCGGCACAGCGCCGAAATCACCGGGCATTATGTATCGCTGCACTTTTATATGATGTGGTACTTTTGTCGTGTCGTCTAACAGCCCCTTCCATTTAGCCACAGACGGTATTAGCCAAGCTTGTCTGCATCTCTGGCCTTTTAGTAAGATGCGAGTCCCGCTCTAAGCAGAGTGCCAGGTCCCAGTGAAAGCATTTTCACAAGTTCCTCGGGCTGATATTTCACTCTGTGGTGGCGACAGGGAAACGGCAGTGCCGACAGCAGCAGAAAGTGAAAACCCATGTGCCAAATTCACGGGATTTTGGAGAAGGTGAGCGCCGCCTTTCCCCCGGC